CGCGACGCTGCTGTTCGGCTCGGCGCTCGCCGGCGACGACGCGAGCGCGCGGCGCGCCGCCGTCTTGGCTGACGTGCGCGACCAGGCCCCCGTTAAAGAACTTTCTTAAGGGTTCTCCTCGTCGTCCGCGCGCGCGCGCATGTCCTCGACGTCCGCGCGGACGCCGGCCAAATCGAGCCGCAGCCGCAGGAGCTCCTCCTCGCTCCGCGCGAGCGCGTGGACGCGGTCCTGGAACGTCGCGGCGTCGAGGAGGCCGCGCGCGTAGGCCGCGCGGTCGCGGTCGCCGCCATCGGCCGCGCGCGCGGCCGACGCCGCGCGGCGGCGCCGCGCGATCGCCGCGTCGCGGACCGCGGCGGACGTCGGCGGCGCCTCGCCGTCGAGCGCCGCGAGGAGCCGCCCGTGGCGCGCGATGGCGCCGCGGAGCTCCGCGACCCAGCGGTCCCGCGCACCCGCCGACGCCGCGGCGAAGGCCTCGCGGCGGCGGCCGGCTAAAAGCTCGAAGCCCGCGGCGCCGCTCTCGGCCACCGCCGCGCCGTCGAGGAGGCACTCGCGGCCGCCGCCCCAGCGCAGGCTCGGGCCCACGTAGACGCCGTCGTCGAAGGCCGCGGACCGGAGTTCCACCCGCAACTCCGCGCCGCCGCGGCGGAGCGCGCCCGCGAACGCGACGACCCTCTCCAGCGCGTCGCGGCGCTCGGGCGCGTCGCGGCCGACCCACTCGACGGCGGCGACGGCCGCTGCGGTGACGTCCGGGGGCGACGGCGTCTCGGACCGCGGGCCCGACGCGGCCTCGACGTCCTCGAGCGGGAGCTCGAGCGGCGGCGGCCGCGGCGGCCGCCGCCGGCCCGCGCCGCCCGGCGCGCGCGCCGGCGCGCCGCCGGGCGACGGCTCGCGGCGGATCCAGTGGAAGCGGCGCGTCGCGAGCGCGGCCGCGGCGTCGCCGTCCCGGCGGTCCGCCACGCGCCGGGGCTCGGGCGAGCCCCGGCGGCCGCCCGCGCGACGCTCGGGCGAGCCCCGGAGCAGGTCCCAGCCGCGCCGGAGGAACGACGGTCGACCGCGGCGCGGCCGCGGCGGCCCGGCGCGCGGCCGCGCGGTCCCGCGGGTGCCGCGGCCGCGCCGGCGGCGACGCCGGCGGCGCCGGGTCCGCCGCGCGCCGATCCGCGGCGCGCGCCGGCGGCCGCGGCTCCGCGCCGGGCGACGCCGCGCCGCGCGACGCCGCGAGGACGTCCGCGCGGAGGCCGCGCACGGCCTCCTGGAGGCCGCCGTCCCCCGGCGACGCCGCGGCGCGCCGCAGCAGGTCCGCGACGGACGCGCGGAGCGCCGCGGCGTCGGTCGCCGGCGCGGCGGCGTCCCCCGCGCGCGCCTCGTCGGCGAAGTCGAGGCGCCGGCCCGCGTCGGGCCGCGCGGCCCGCGGCGGCGCGCGCTTCACGAAGGACTTGAGCGCCTCGCGGACGTCGACGGCGACGCGCGGCGGCGACCGCGCGGCGGCCGGCGGCGCGGCCGCGCGCGCGGCGGCCGCGGCGACGATCGCCGCGGTCCACGCGTCGCGGTCCTCGGCCGTCTCCGCGCAGAGCGACGTGGGCTCGCCGCCGCCGGCGAACGTGAGGTCGAAGCAGGCGCCCGTGCGTCCCCCGCCGTCGACGGAGACGACGTCGGCCAGGTCCCGGAGGAAGCACTCGCCGAGCACGCGCGCGTCGCCGTTCCGGTAGACCAGACGCGTGCGCCGGCCGTCGAGGACGAGCGACGCGTGCCGCTTCTTCCAGGGCGTCGCCGCGCCCCGGCGCCAGAGCAGGCCCTCCATGGCGACGTCCGGCGCGGACCGCCGCAGCTCGCACGCGAGGTCGTAGGGCGACGGGCCCCGGTGTTCCGGTTCCTCGGCGGACGGCGCGCTCGACGCCGTCGACGGCGCGTCGCCGACGTCGGGCGCCTCCGGCCGCGGCGGCGACCGCCCGAGGAACCGCGCGAGCTCGTAGGGCGACGACGCCGCCGACGGCGGCGGCGCCGCGGGCTCCGGCTGCGCCGGCGGCGCCGCGGCGGCCGCCGGCGGGTCCGGCGACTCGCGCGCCTCGATCTCGTAGAGGAGGCCCGCGGGCGGCGCCGGGGGCCGCGCGGCGCCCCCGCGCCGCAGCGCGACGACGGCGTCGCGGCGGCGCCGCGGCTTGTGGCCGAGCCCCCCGTCGCGCAGCGCCGCGCCGACGTCGTAGTGGCGGTCGATGACGGCGCGGCAGCGGACCGCCCAGGTCTCCGCGTCCGCCGCGGAGCACGCGCGGAAGACGAGCGTTTCGGCGACGGCCGGCGGGAAGTCGACGCGGAACGCGTCGCCGTCGGCCGCGACGGCGACGCAGCCGTCGAGGAGGTGCGCGTCGACGACGGCGCGCGGCGAGTTCGGATCGCCGCGGTCGTAGCGGCGGATGGCGGGGCCGACGTAGACGCCGTCGTCGTCGAACGTCGTCGGCGCGAGGCCGTAGAAGCCCCGCTCGCCGTTTTGCTCGAGGAAGCCCAGCTTGACGACGGCGCCCGCGAGCGTCGCCTCGGCCGCGGCGTCGAGCGTCCACTCGACGGCCGCGATCGCCCGCGCGGCCTCGGCCGCGGGCGGCGGCGCGGCCGCGGCGCCGAGCGCCGCGAGCCAGCCGTCGGCGGCGGCCTCCGACGGCGCGACGAGCGTCGTCCCCGCGACGGCAAAGGCCCGCGGCCCCGCGCGCGACACGTCGCGCACGGGCAGCTCGCGCGCGGCCTCGCCCGCGCGGTCGTCGCAGACGCGGAGCGCCGTCGACCGCGCCGTCGCGACCAGCAAACCGAAGACCGCGGCGCCGCCGAGCTCCAGGGCCCCGCCCTTGAGGAGCCGCTCGCCGTCGCCGCGGACGAAGAAGTCGCTGTCGCTGTCGAGGTCCTCGACGATCGTCGCCGGCGACGACGTCGCGAGGCGGCGACGGTGCGTCGGCGTCTCCGCGCGCGTCGGCGTCGCCGCGCGCGCGAGGCCCGGCGACGGCGGCCGGGGGAAGAGGCCCCGCGCGACGGGGGAAGCGCGGCCCGTCGGCGTCGCCGACCGCGGGATCTGCCGCCGGAGCGGCGTCCCGATGGAGTAGCCCGACGAGTCGAGGCCCGTCGACGAGCCCGTCTCCGGCGACTCGCCGTTCACGCAGCGCATCGAGAGCTCCGTCGAGCCGGCGGCCGAAAGTTTTGATGGCGCGTCGAACGACGCCACGATGGCCTCGCGCGTTGTGATCACCATCTGCGACGTCGACGTTTAGACGCTCGGTTCACGCTCGCCGAGCAGCCTCCGAGCAGGCCCTCGACGAGTCCATGTACGAGTCCTTCGTGCGCCGAAGGCTCGCCGAGTCCTTCCTCGCCGGCGTCGACCATTAGTAACCTAGAGCTCGACCCCCCCTAGCAGCCGTACTGCTGGCTGAGGGCCTGCTTCGCGTCGGAGACCTCGGCCATCTTCCGCGCGGCGCGCTCCTTGGAGCCGCGGGCCTTGTCCGGGTGCCACTGGCGCGCCATCTTCTTGTGGTGCTTCTTGAGCCAGAAGCACTTGCGGTCCTTGGAGAGCGAGTCGACGTTCGCCGGGAGCTCGAGGACCTTGGCGTGGTCGCGGCGCTTCTCCCACGCGTCCTCGCCGCGCCGCGCGTCCTGGAGCTTCCGCCGGAGGTCGTGCTCGACCTGTGTGGATTCCAAATCTTCAACCCGACTTCAATGTGCGCGTAATCGAACGATTTGGACCAGACTCTTTCGCTGTGCTTCGAGAACTCGACGAGAGCAATCGATTCGTCCAAAAATCAGCCGAATCGACTTCGATTTGACCGAAATAGAGAGTTCTGAAGTTTGGTGGGGACCCCCCAAACCAGTGGTTGGAATCCACACTGTGCTCGACGCCCTCGTCGTCGACGTACGCGTAGGCCTCGTTCGCCATGCGCTCGCCGCCGACGAGCTCGATGCACGCGCGCCAGTCGCGCACGGCGCTCTCGAAGTCGTCGTCGCGCTCGTACGCGAGCGCGCGCGCCGCGCGCGCGTCGACGGAGTCGAGCGCGGCGACGGCGCCGTCGCACGCGTCGAAGGCGACCTCGTGGCGCTTCACCTTGGAGTTGGCGTGGCAGGCCCGGAGCTGGAGCGTCGCGCGGTAGCTCGCGAGCCGCGACCCCTCGAGCTCGTGGCTCAGCGCGTCGAGGCTCCCGAAGGCCTCGTCGAGCGCGTCCAACGCCTTCACGGAGTAGCCCTTCCTCAGGTGCTTGTCGACGGCCTCCGTCTTCCGCTTCAGCGACTTGAGCCCGTCGTACTGCTTCTTGAGCGGCGCCGAGTCGGGGTCGTGGCGCAGGCCCGCCTGGACGAACTTGATCGACTTGTCGAGGCGGCCGCGCTCGAGCGCCGCGGCCGCGCCGATGGTCAGCGCGAGGGTCTTCGGCGCGCCGGCGTCGAAGGGGAGGCGCATCGTCGCCTTGTCCGACGTCTCGAGGTGCTGCAGCGCCGCGGCCGCGGCGGCCTCGGCGCCCGCGTGGTCGCCGAGCACCGCGCGGGACCGCGCGAGCCAGACGGCCCACTTCGTCGGCGCGCCGCCGCGGACGAGCAGGCCGAGCGACGCGACGGCCTTGGTCCAGTCGGCCTTGGAGTCCTCGTCCGTCGCGCGTTCGTCGAGCGCGCGCGACAGGTCCCGCACGGCGTGGACGGCGGCCCGGCAGGTCTTCCGCAGCCGGTCGAGGTCCTCGTGGAGCTTCTTGACCAGGAGCGCGCCGTCGTCGGACGCGCCCGCGAGCGGCTCCGCGGCCAACGCCGCGCGGATCAGGTCCGCGAGGGCGCCGGCGAGGTCGCCCGCGGCCTCGGCGACCGCCGCCGCGTCCCGCAGCGCCGCCGGGTCGCCGGCCGCGGCGCCGCCGAGCTGCCGCGCGACGTCGAGCGCGTGCGCGTTCGTGCACTCGTAGGTTTCGGCCGGCGGCGCGCCCGCGCAGAAGCGCGCGGCGGCGGCGGCGCCGTCCTCGCCGGCGCGCTTGATCACTTTGCACTTGACGTCGCCGGGGTTCAATGTAAAAGCCACGCCGGGGCCCGGCGTTTGCGGGTCGTCGCGCGCGGCGGCGAGCGCGGCCGCCTCGCGCTCGAGCATGGCCCGGAAGCCGGCCTCGGCGTCGCGGCGCCGCGCCAGCGCCGCGTCGCGGCTCGCGGCCTCGCGGGCCATGCGAGCGTCGTAGATCGCGCGCGCGGCGGCCTCTTTTTCGAGCTGCTCGCGGTGGGCCTTTTCGTCGCGCATCGCCTCCTCGGCCATCTTGCGGAACGACTCGACCTTGTCGCGCTCGATGCCCTTGCGCCGCGACGCGCGCAGGTAGTCCGCCGCCGCGGCCATGTGGCGGTCCTCGAGGGCCGATTCCTCCGCGCGCCGGACATGCTTGCCTACCAAGCATGATGGTGACGATTTCTCATTGCTTTCCCCACCCGAAATATCTCGAAAATCGTCACGGCCACAGGACGCTGGTGCTTGCCCGCCGTCTTTAACACGGTGTTGTTGGCCGCCGCGAGCGCGGCGGTTCTGGCGGTCGTCGCCTCGCCGGCGTCGAGCTGCTGCTCGACGATGTCGGCGATGCGGCAGGCGAAGTCGACGTCCGGGTTGATGGCGCGCACGTGGTAGACGAAGCGCAGCGCCGCGTGGACGGCGTCCTCGCCGATGGCGACCTCGACCTGCGTCTGCTCCTGGGACTTGTCGAACTTGATGCCCACGCTCGCGAAGGGCGGTTCCGCGGACCCGTCGACGCCCACGGCGACCTCGGCGCACCGGGCCAGCGACGCGCAGAGCGCCAACGCGACGACGAGCTTGGCTGCCATGACACGCGGCGCGGCGATTTGCTCGATGCCTTTGTCAGCCAAAAAAGGTTGCCTTCATCTCCGGCCAAAAACCGCTTCTCGCAAGCATGGTAATAGCTACCGAGCTTCCCATGCTTTGACCGCGTCGTCGCCGTGGTCGCGTCGTCACCTGCGTCGCAGCGCGAGCCGCAAGGGCAGCGAGGCGCGCTGCGAGCAGCGAAGCGGATCTCGCCGCGGCTGTGCGCCGCCCGGCGCGCCGCGCATGGGCGGCCCGGTCGAGCGCTGCCCGCGCTCTTTCGACGTCGAGGCGCAGCGGAGCGCGGCGCAGGTGGACGCGGACGCGGCGCGCGGGTGCGTGGCGCCGTGCTGGGACGAGACGGACAACGGCATCCCCGACGTTTGCCTCGAGCGGCGGTGGTGCCCCTTCAACCCGGACAACCCCGTCACGAACGACAACTTCGTGTGCCACGTCTTCGGGAACATCGGCTTCCCCTACTTCGACCGGACGCGGAAGCGCTACATGGGCGTCGCCATGTGGTCGACGCTGCTGGCCATGTTCGTCACGGCCTTCGGCGCGCTGTCGCTGTCCACGGACCCGGACGTCGTCCGCGCGAGCTACTGGCTCAAACTCGAGGCCGTCAACGGCACGGCGGGCGGCGCGACGGCCAAATACTACCTCGGGCTCCGCTCCGTCGTCACGGTGCGCGGCGGCGGCGACGAGAGCACGGACCGCCTCGAGCAGGACTTCTACGTCGGCGCGATCCCGGGCAGCGACTCGCGCGACCCCGTCCAGCGCGAGGTCCTGGACGCGTGCGCGGCCGGCGCCGCGGGGAACCAGATCGGCGCCCTACTTTCCTGCGTGACGCTCATCTTCGCGCTCCTGGGGACGATCAACCGCATGCGGTTCTCGAGCGACGCGAACGTGCAGAAGGCGCTGGGCCTCGTCACGGACACGTGGGGCGCCGCGACGCTGACGTGGACGCTCGCGCACTTCCACCTCCGGTGCTTCGCGGGCCTGCCGGCGCGCCACGGCGCGCTCGAGCTCGAGCACGCGTGGGGGCCGGCGTGGGTCTGCTACCTCGTCTGCTGCCTGAGCGGCATCATCCGCGCGGCGGCGCACTGGGTGACGCCGACGCCGGGCAACGGCGCGGGCGCGTGCGTGTTCAGCCTGCCACAGCGCATCCTGCGCGTGCTGGAGGCGGACCTCGGCGACGCGCTCTCCTACGCGGAGCAGAAGCGCACGTACAAGCTGCTCCGCGCGGCCATGGCCGAAGAGGGCCACGTCGTCAACGCCTTCGTGCGCGAGAGTCTGGCGAAGGTGTCGGGCGCGCTGAGGGACGCGGCCGGCGGCGTCGAGAACGCCGTCGCGGCGCTCGTGGGCGACGCGCGGCGCGCGACGGGCGTCGCCGGGCCCGAGGCGAACGGCGGCCTCGACGACGCGGCGCTCCGCGTGGCGCTCACGGTGGCCAAGCTGAAGCTGCGCCGCGCCCCCGCGAAGCGCGACCTCTTCGAGGGCAGCGGCCGCCCGACGACGCGCGGCGACCTCGCCAGGCGCACGGTCCGCGCGGCGTCGATGCCGTCGCTCCTCCTCGGCCTCGTCGACGAGCGCCACCCGCCGGAGCCCGTCCGCGTCCAGCCCTCCTTCGGCGCCGGCGAGGAGACGAGGCCGCCGGAGGGGGCGTAACCAGGTAAGTTGCCTTTGGAGAGTCCAGTTGTTGCCGCAGGCCCCTGTCTGTGAGTGCTGTTGCCCGACCCAGGATGTCGAAGCTCGGAGACGCGCTCAAGCCCGGCCTCGGCGCGCTGCTCGCCTTCGCCGTCGTCCAGCAGGTCGGCGTGGTCCTCGCGGACCACGGCCTCAAGTGCGTCTGCCCGCCGACGGGCGCCCTGGCCGTGCTGCTGTTTCTCATGCCCGGCGCGCCGGCGTCGCAGCCCACGTGCGTCGTCCTCGCGCACGTGCTCGCCGCCGCCGCCGCGAGCCTCTGCGTCGACTACTACCCGGCGGCGCTCGCGGAACTCGTGCCGCCGACGTCCGGCGCGGTCGTCCTGGCCATCGTCGCGATGAAGGCCTTCGGCGCCGTGCACCCGCCGGCGGCGGCCTACGCCTTCCTCTTCGCCATGCAGAAGATGCCGCCGGTCATGATCGTCAAGGGGCCGGGCTTGCTCGGCGCGCTCGTGCTCCTCGCGGTCCAGCAGGGCGCGTATCTCCCGGCGCTCAAGGCCCTCGAGGCCAAGGGCAAGACCGCGTGAGCGGCCGCCGAGGGCAAGACCGCGTGAGCGACCGCAAGACCGCGCGCCGCGGCGCTCGGCGGAGGCGCGCGCGGCGCGGCGTCGCGAGACGGCGCGGAGCCGCCGCGCGCCGTCGAGACCGCGCGGACTCGGACGCGCGTGCGCGCCGCGGCCGACGCTCCGGCCGCCCACGAAGAAGACCAAGCGAGCGAGTATAAGCGAATGTGTAAAACACGCCGCGTCCGCATCGGGCGGCCAGACGGAGCCTCGGAGGCCGTCATTGAAGAGCACGTGCCTCGTCCTTGAAGATTTGGAGGCTCTCACAGCTGCGGCGCCATCTCGCGCGCCGTCGCGACGGCAACACACCGAGCCTCTCCGGCGCTCCACAGAACACCGCAGCCTCGCGCCGCAGCCATAATGGCCGCGCTCGTCGACGGCAAGCCGCCGGCGCGCATCGCCGTGCTCGGCGCCGGCTGGTGGGCGCAGGGTTGGCATCTTCCCGACCTGCACACCAACCCGGAAACGACCATCGCCGCCATCGTCGACCCGAACCCGCAGCCGCGGTCCGCCATCCCGCCGGCGCTCGAGCCGCTCGCGGCGCTCGCCGCGAAATACGACTGCCCGACGTTCGCGAGCTTGGACGCGCTGCTCGCGGCGGGCGTCGCGTTCGACGGCGTCGTCTGCTGCGCGCCGCACGCGTCGCACTACGCGCTCGGCGCGGCGGCGCTGGCCGCCGGGAAGCACGTGCTCATGGAGAAGCCCATGACGACGGACGTCGGCGAGGCGGCGCGGCTCGCGGACGCGGCCAAACGGCATCCGCGCCTCTACTTCGCCGTGAACAACACGGCGTCGTGGCGGCCCCAGGCGCTCGCGGCGGCGGCCTGGGTCCGCGGCGGCCGCGTGGGCACCGTCGAGCACGTCAGTTGCTCGTTCCACAGCCCCCTGCTCTGGCTCTTCGACGACCCGGCGAACGTCGGCTGGACGACGCCGTCGGGCGCGATGCTCGGCAACGGCTTCGCCTGGGGCCAGATGAGCCACCCGATCGCCTGGATCCTGCAGGCCACGGGCCTCGAGCCGTCGTTCGCGACGTGCGCCATGACCTTCGCCGAGAGGTCGGGCGCGGACCTCACGAACGCCGCGACGATCGAGACGAAATCGGGCGCGACGGTGTCGCTGTCCGGCGCCGGGTCCGTGCCGGGCACGGCGCACGGCGCCGGGTCCGTGGGCAAGTTCGTCTCCATCCGCATCTTCGGCTCCGAGGGGATGGTCTCCTACGAGGGCGACGACTCGAAGCCGGAGAGCGGCAAGCTCGAGCTCTCGCGGCGCGACGGCGGCCGCGACGTCGTCGACGGCTTCCTCTTCGAGAACTTCGTCCAGGGCGGCCGCGGGCCCGAGAGCCTGCTCGCCTTCGTCGCCGCCTGCCGGGGCGAGGCCGCCGTCGCCGCCATCGACGCGCCCCTCGGCGCGGCCGTCGTCGGGACGATCGACGCCATGTACCGGAGCGCCAAGGCCGGCGCGCGCGTGAGCATCGCCTAAGGCCCTTAATTGAAGGCTTCAATCACGAGAGCTTGAAACTCCCAACTCTCGAGAGCTTCGTGGCCACTGGCACCATCGTCGACACAATAATGGAGACCGAAGTTCCAACAGTGTCGGAGATGCACCGCGGCGGCGCCCCCCTGGAGCTCCGACACTGCTCGAGCTCCGACACTGGAGCTCCGGCCGCGGCCGCGGCCCCCGCGGCGGCGAGCGCCTACCTGGAGGAGACCGGCGCGGCGAACCGGTCGCACTTCTGCCTCGCCGACTGCTGCTGTGCGCAAGAGCCGCCGAGCAAGGACGCCGTGAGCTCCTACGACCACTACTGGGACTGCTGCGGCTGCCCGGAGATCGATCCCCAGGGCGCCTGCGGCCCGCTGGCGTGCTGCGGCTGCGGCTGCAAGCTCGCGCTCTGCGCCGCGGACGTCGCGTGTTTGTGCCTCCCGCGGGCCGCCGGCGCGTGCGCGGAGCGGGTCCGCGAGGCCTCGGACTTCAAGCGCGCGCACCAGACGCGGGCGCACTTCGACCCGTACCCCGCGTCCTTCGGCGAGGCCAAGGGGTGCGCGGGCAAGTTGCTGTGGACCTTCGGGACGTGCGGCAACCTGCACTACCCGTTCGGGAACGCCGGCGTCGCGTGCTGCGGCAAGATCTGCTGGACCGAGGAGCGCAACTCGTAACCGAGGAGCCCAATAACAATTGAGACCCGGGGTCAGTCTCGGGGTGCACCGGCCGAATCTAGGGGGGTGCAACACCGCACATCAACGCCACATCAATGAAGTACTCATTCGGGGGGGGAGATTTCCGCGGAGGCAGCCCGATGGCTGGGAATCGTGCAGCTCGCTGCTGTTGTCTCAGCGGCAGCTGGCTGCGCCTCGCGTTGCCGCTGCTCCTCGTCGCCGCGGCGACGGCCCTCCACGGACCGCAGACGTCGCGGCGCCGGGCGGTGCGCGCCTTCGGCGGCGACGAGTGCCTGTCGATCAAGTTCGTCACGGGCAACGCCATGAAGCTGCGGGAGGTCGAGGCGATCCTGTCGCAGAACGGGCTGCCGCTGCCCCTGGAGCAGTGCGACCTCGACCTCGACGAGTACCAGGGCGTCGCCGAGGACATCGCGGCCGCGAAGTGCCGTTTGGCCGCGGAGGCGACGGGCGGCGCGGCGATGATCGACGACACGAGCCTCTGCCTCGAGGCGCTCGGCGGCATGCCCGGGCCCTACATCAAGTGGTTCAGCCACGTGGACCTGCCGCGCGTGCTCGAGGGCTACGAGTGCAAGCGCGCCTACGCGCAGAGCTGCGTCGCGTTCTCCGTCGGGCCGGGGTCCGTGCCGCTCGTCTTCACGGGCCGCGCGCACGGCGTCATCGTCGACGCGCCGCGGGGCGACGCGGGCTTCGGCTGGGACGCGTGCTTCAAGCCCGACGGCCACGACGCGACCTTCGCGGAGATGGACGCGGCGACGAAGAACGGCATCTCGCACCGGTCCCGCGCGCTCGAGCAGCTGTCCAACTACCTCAAGGGCGACGCGGACCTCCTCGTGGCGCTCTGCGCGGAGCGCGTCATGGAGGCCCAGGAACCCGAGGACCGCTTCTTCTTCCACCGGAGGCGAAAGGAGATCTAGGTTTGTTAGTCCGGCGGCGCCCAGCGCGCCCGCTCCGCGGCCGCCTTGGCCTCGATGGCGTCCCGGCACGCGGCGCCGCGCCGCGCGGGCGCGAGGTCCGGGTGGAAGAAGCGCAGCAGCAGCACGACCCGCGCCCTGTCCGTGTCGTTGCGGACCTCGTGCTCGAAGCTGTCGTCGAAGAGGAGGCACCGGCCCTCGGCCCAGGTCCGCCAGTCGGCGCCGACGCGGATGCGGCAGCCGCCGCCGGGGGGCACGGCCAAACCCAGGTGGCAGGTCAACCGTAGATTCGTCGGCGCGCAGTGGGGGCGGATCGCGCTCCGCGGCGCGAGGCGGCTCAGGATGACCTCGCCGCCCCCGGAATCGCAGAGGTCCGCCGCGTCGGGCACGCGGTCCCGGACGAAGCGCGCCGTCGCCGGCGCCGCGCCGTCGACGGCGCCGGCCCCCAGGAGCACGACCTCGCGCCAGGAGCCGTCGACGACGGCGCCGTCGTGGGCGCCGCTCGGGCCGCGGCCCTGGCCGCCGACGTCCGACCAGGTCTCCGCGTCGACGAGCGCCGCGGCCTCCGCTCGGACCTCGCCGCTCGCGGCCTCGAGCGCCGCGACCCAGGGGAATTGTGCCCCGTCCCACCAGGGCTGCGCGCGGAGGCCGCGCTCCAAATAGCCCGGCCGCTGCTCCGGCGACGCCCAGAGGCCGGGGCACCGCGCGACGACGGCTTTCGCGGCGACGATGTCTCCCTCGTCGCGCTCGCGGACGAGGAGCAGCTCGCGCCAGGCGTCGCCGTTGGACGGGTCGAGCGCCACGGCGCGCTCGAGGTGGGCCGCGGCGCCGCCGGCGTCGCCCGCGTCCGACCGGCAGTAGCCCAGGAACGTCGCGCGCCGCGACGCCGTCCGGGGGTCGCCGGATTCCGGCGCGGCCCGCAGCGCGCGCACGGCCTCCTCGAGGAGCGGGCCGCTCGACTCGCGGAGCGCCCGAGCCCAGAGGGCCGCGCCGTCGGCCCAGGACCGCTTCGGCGGCGCGCAGGTCCGCCGGTGCTGCGGCCAGGCCGACTGCTGGCAGGCACGCGAGCAGAAGTGGACGGCCTTGCACCGCGAGCAGCGGTTCGTCGCCGGCGCCGCGCCGCAGTGGAAGCACGATGGCGGCGCCGCGTCCAGCTTGACGCGCTTGCGCGCGGCGTCGTCGTCGTCGTCGTCGACGGTGAGAATGTCCATCGCCTCTCAGCGGCGGCTAACCACAGCCACGAAAGTTGAATTCAGCTAGGGGGGGGTTTGCTCCGCCAGTGGCGCCCCGGCCGACCCCTCTAGCGCAGCGACGCTGTACTCGAAAGTCACGATCTTGAGCGCGATCGAAGCTTCATAGTACCGTCGATTAGGAAACCAAGGGGCATGTCCAACGCCATCGATGGTGGCGAGATCGACTGTGCCGGATTTGTCCGTAGGAGCGCGGTGGACGAACGAGGCCCGTAGGGTGGATTTTGGACCAACACCGAAACTGCGTCTCCGGCACTGACCAACCGTCCAGGGCGACGCCAGGGGTCATGGGGCGTCGCCCCGACCACAAAAAGCGACCGTTCTGCGCCTATACGCAGCGCATGGCTGGCGCGTATACGCGCGTATTCGTACGTAGGCGGTCCTTTTTCGAGCATATTTCAGTGATTTCGTCGAGTTAGAAAGAGCTTGCTTCACGCGGGCGTAGCTCGCCGGGACGTCTGGGACCATGCAAAAAAGAGTGACTTTAGACGCCGCCGTCGCGCGACCGCGCCGACCTTGCCGGAGCAACCCCCCCCATTTCAGCTTTGGCTCGGCGAGACGATGGACGAGCATCTTGGACGAGCTATGAGCTGTGCGAGTTCGAGTGACAAGCAATATAACGAGTGACAAGCAATATGACGAGCTATGAGCTGCGCGAGTTCGAGTGGCTGCCGGACCTGGACCTCGCGACGGTGGAACCGCTCGTCGCGTCGATCGACCGCGACGGCCTCTGCGTGGTCCCCGGCTGCGGCACGTCCTGCGTCTCGGCGACGCTGCGCGACGGCTGGGGCTTCCGACGGGTGCTCTCCCTCGACAGCGACGCCGCGGCCATCGATTTCATGCGCGCGCGGCAGCGCGACGACGCGCGGCGGTGCGACTTCGTCGTCGCCGACGCGACGGACTGCGCGGACGTCGTCGCCGACGGCGCCGCGGCGCTCGTCGTCGACAAGTCGACCTTGGATTGTTTGCTCTGCGGCGACGCGGCGGCCTACGCGTGCTCCGTCGCGCGCATGCTCGCCGTCGGCGGCTGTTTTCTGGTCATGTCCTTCCACGACGCCGAGTTCCTCAAGGCGGCGCTCTGCGCCGCGCTGCCCTTTTGCGTGGAGCGCGAGGTCGTCCGCGAAAAAAACGTCGCGCTGCTCCTGCGGCGGACGGCCGGCGCCTGGGAGCCCGAGGCCGTCGCCGCGGCGCTGCTCCGGCCGACGGTGCCGCCGGAGCGCCTCGCGCGCCTGCGCGCGAGCTGGGGCGGCGCGCGGCCGCTCCGCGAGGCCTACGACCTCCTCTTCTCCGACGCGCTCAAGGCCGAGTACGCCTTCGCCGACTTCGAGGCGGACGCTGGTTCCGCGGACCGCTGGTCCCTCGACGACGCCCTCGCCTTCCTCCGAAGGACGCAGTAAGCCTTAGTAAAGCCCGACCGCGGCGTCGACGGCGCTTCGGCCGGTCGTGAAGGTCCTGGTGAAGGTGCAGCCCCAACGACGCGATGGGCGCGAGTCGAGACGACGCGCCGCCGAGGGACGAGCTCGCCGACGCGTTCGCCGCGGACTACGCCGAGGTCAAGGCCGGCGGCCTCGTCGTCGGCGCGTCGGACCTGCCCTTCTCCCTCAGCGAGTTCCCGCGGCTCGTGCCTGGCGAGCAGTTCTTCCTGGGCCGCGTCGCCGGCATGCTCGGCGGCGGCGGGCGCCTCGCGGCCTGCATGGTCGCCATCGGCAACGCCAAGTCCGCGGACGTGCTCCTGGGCCTGACGCGGCCCGAGGGGGGCGACCGCTGCCTCCTCGTCGTCGACGTCGCCGGAGCGCAGGCGAAGCCGTTAGCGGCCGTCGAGGCGGCGCTCGAGGCGCTGCCCTGGAAGGAGAAGGTGCCCGAGGAACTGGCGGCGCTGCCGCCCCTCGCGGCCATGGGCGCCGCGGACGCCGGCGTCGGGCCCGACTACGGGGAATTTGGGGCGACGACGCGCGCGCGCGTCGTCTTCCGCCATTTGGGCAACGAGCTCGAGGCGCCGCGCGCCGCGCGGGTCCACGAGCACCTGCCCCGCGACG